TCTAACATTTTTAATTATAAATATCAAAAGATAGTTTGTAACAAAATAAAAGATAATGGTATAAAATGATTAAAAGATAAATATCAGATGCAGAGTTGACAGGTAACTTGATCCACTGATTTCTTGAAATATCTATTTCCGTTTTTTAAACTTAACTCAGAAAATTTGGCTTGAGAAAGTTTCTGGTTAAAGCTCTAAACTTCAAGTATATTAACTTTACTGTCATGGTTTTGATTCTGTTCAAGTTTCTGAGTTTCTCTGAGTTTTTTTTTATATTTGAGTTCTTAGGTATTCCGTGGTTGCCCTCTTGTGTCAGTCTCCTTTTCCCTAGCTCCCTTCTAGCCTCCTCTGTTCACACCTGCTCCCAATCTGCTAACTAGCCTGGTTTCTCTCTCCCATATATTCTCCTCCTGTTCAGTCACTCTTCGCTGGTTTGTCATCATTTCTTTCCCCACTTCTCGGGAGTAGTTCCTGGTTCTCAGCTCTTGTGGATTTATGTTTTGGATTTTTCCTTCTGTTGAACTTTTGGTTAATTAAATCTCCAAGAAACCACTTCAGCTTCAGTCTGCATTTGGGTCCTCCTCTCAAACCTCCACCCCACCTTGACATTTACATTGCAAAGAAGCCTGAATTAAATGCTGATCATCAACAATATCATTATTACAAAATAATCCCAGAACAGGAAGATCAGGAAGAACTTCTAACACAAACTCAAAGACAAGAACAGCACATCCAACCCTTTATTTTTTTATTTTCCAGTGTTATGTCATTACACTGTCACAAGAACAGAGCAACAAAACTCACTCTCTGCATTTAACCAATCCTCTTGGGGAGCCGTGGGCTGCCATTGTGCGGCGCCCTGGGAGCAGTGCTTTTCAGGGACTCAGAGTGCAGGCTAAGGGAATGGGACTAGAACTCAGAACTTCTGGATTCCAAGCTCCATGCCCAAACCACTAGGCCGCCACTCCCCCAAACCTGACCATCATACCAAACCAAAAAACAAAAACCAGAAACGTGAAGAACTGTGAAAAAGTTTTTTACTTCATTGTCTGGCTTTGTTGCATAATGATGTTACTGCATGCTTGGCTAAAGCAGCCGGGGGGGCTACAGCGCCCCTGTGTGGTGAATAAAGGATACAACTCAACTACCTCCTTTACAAAACATCAATGAAAAGTTTTCTTTTAGTTCTTTAGCAACAAATCATCAGTAGTGAATTTAAATTGTCCACCGCTCAACGAGCAGCAGGCTGTGAATAATGGAGGTGATGATTTCTTTTTTTTTCTTTTTCTAACATCATGGTTCAACTTGAGTTTCTAGACTTTGACCCAACCTGAAGACACCAGAGCTTATCGCCCTTATTTAGTTGATGAAGGTTCTCAGTCATCCAGGTCATAGTCATTCCGTAAAAGTTCCAAAAAACAATCCACTGGACTTGGTTGCCAATATTTGAAGACATTTCTTCACCTCTCCAGGAAGCTTTCTCAATTCAAATGTCTGGATCTGCAGTGAGTTTGAGTCTTTAAATAGACAAGGCCTTGTATTTCTTGGAAACATGCAAATTGAAACTGATGAGTGGGTCGTTTGGTCCCATTGTTAGCCTTTTGGGCCCTATGTATATATAATGCATTAAAAGGCATCTCTCTAAGCATCTATAAATATAAATATCAGTGTATTCTGTTCTCTTAAAGAAAGCATTCAATAAATATATGTTTGATCTCATTTTTGGAAGATAGAAAAACCTAATGAAAGCATTCGTGTCGAGTAACTGTAGGTTTATCAGCCCCCAGCCGAGTGACCCGCCAACTTTCATCACAAAGCTACACATTTGGATGAAGTGTGTAAAAAAGAAACGGCTTTAATATCGCTGTGGTGATGATGATGATGATGATGATGATGATGATGATGATATCACCTGAGAAGGAGCTACATTTTCCACAGTCCTCTCTTTCCATGACATCCACTACACTCTTTGAGCTATAAAGTTCACCAAATTCGCCAAATGTTCTCTACTGGCAGTCAGATCCTGAAAGTAAAACCTCTGAAAGGTCATTGCCTCCATTTCCCTTCATCCCAGCAGCCTTTGCCATCGCAGTCATCGCACACATCCAAACTGCGCTGATGATTGCCACGCCATGTGTTGTGCAGCTCCAGACCGATTTAGTCTAGATTTGAGTAAAAGTTGAACTGAAATTATGTTTATAACCTAAACTAATGGGTAAATCAATAACTGAGACTGGAATGGACAGAAGCTAAACTTTATGGCTTAAAAAATCAGTAATAATAGATGTTAAAGCTACAGTGTGTAATTTTCAGCGACATCTAGCGGTCAGACTGCAGACCGCAGCAACATGAACATCTGCCCCCCACCGCTTCTCCCCCCCAACAGTACGGCGAGCGTTACGGGACAAAATGTCTTCCACGACGTCCGCATCACCTACCTTCTCAAGTGATGAGGTTTGTTTACATAGATAATTTTACAGATAGTATTTCATTGGTCTGTGTAGGGTATAGATTTCATGTAGACTTAAGATAATAAATATACCCGTTATTTTTTCTACATCGTTGTGACGTTTTGGTGAGCTGCTTTGCATGGTGATATAAACAGACGAAGTAATTGTAGTCATTAGTTTAACAGCGAGATTGTGTTCGCTGGAAGAATATATATTCCCCGTTTACAGAGTCCAAGTCATTTTGGTGGCACGGGGGTTACAACGCGAGGAAGAGGGAGAGGACGAGGGCGAGGGCAGGGAGGCCGTGCAGCTAGGGCCAGGCGAGAGAGGGGAGCCAGCGGGGTGAGAGCAGAGGAGGAAAGGCTTGAAGATCTCCAAAGGAGCCGGAGAGAAGTAACCGAGGTATATATCCAGAAAATTATTTTACAGAAAATTACTGAATCATTACCTGTGAAACGTCAGGGACGTTGCTGAATAAGTATACTGGAGAGTAACAGCATCATCACGCAGCATGTTATTGTTTTAGACAGGTCTGAGCATCCTGTACTCCAAAAACTGCAGTGATATTAGACAATTGTGTGTGTAGGATTAATTACCTGTCCAAGAGAAAACTGGCAACTTGAGCGTCACTTTGAAAACCTTTTTCCTCCATCAGTGACTTCCATCGTGTAAATGCCGTGCCAATGTTGATCCGTGTTTTTTGTCGTTTCTTGTCACTCTTGCGTTTATTCTCGTCGTGTTTCCGCTTCTTAGATGACGGGGGTTCGGTGTCCGCCGCTTTTCGTTGTGATACAGAGTAGGCATGATCCTCCATTCGTCTGATGTTTGGCCACACAGTGCCAAACAGTTTGCAAAGTCACTCACGCCTGCCGCCTTGTTCACCTTTCTTGTTACTGAGGCGCAGTATACCTGCTTCTTCTTCTTCTTTGGTTTCAGGCAGACTAAATGCTTCTCAGGCATAATACTGCCATCTACTGTTCAGTACCGTCTCAGTCCATCTCTCTCAACTTGCCGTAGTTATTTTCGAGCGTCAAGGGAGATCTCGCAATCGCTAGTTTGTTGGCTCTGCGCTGCCGTAGCGCAAAGATGTCTGCCTCTATGGCTGCGAGACCCGCTCCTATGTAATTATAAATAACGAATTCTAAGGCAACGCAAATATTATGGTTAAAAGGCTGAGCTCATAGGTGATGATAAATAACATAGTTATGTATAATATATTAAATTTCTGACTTTATATGCCTGTAATTATTACACACTGTAGCTTTAAATCCCAGGTAAGGACAGACTGCAGCAGCAGCCATCTGTTGGTGTAATGTGGTACAGAGAAAAAAGCAAAAACAGATTTTAACGCATTATGGTAAAAACACAAACAATTGAAATAACCAGATTGTTGATTAAAATAATAAACTCATATTTTACTTTCAGTTAGTTTTTTTTTCAAGGTCTACCTGAGTGAAACATATAGTAGTAGCCAGGGCGGATTAAGGAAATTTGGGGCCCTAGGCAAAGACAGGCAGGGGCCCCTCTGAATTAAGAAGACAACACATAAAACAGACCCATTATCCAGATAGAGAAATGTTAATAGAATAGACATCCATTATCTGTTCTAGGTTTTGTCCCTCTCTTCTTGTCCCTTTTCTTCTTGTTTTCCTCTCAGCTGACTTTTCATGCTGTCTCTAAAGGAATGATGGATGGAAAGTGGATTTCACTTTCTTTTAAATTAGGAGAAGAAAACAGCAACAATTTCAAAGGATGTCTGATTGGACATGGTTTACTTTACATATTTAAAAATATTAAAAAAAAAAACTTCCTCTGACAATGTGAATTAGTATTGTTATCTGAAACTATTCATTTCTAAACCTGGTGTAACAAAGTCAGACTTCCTGCCCTGACATCAACCCATGGCAGCATAGAGAGCTTTACATGATAAAGACAGACATCCCCTTCACTATGGGATCCAGATTAACTTTGCAGGAAGAAATGCAATAATATTAGCAAAAGGTGAGTTCGCTTTGCTTTTGACTCCAGATCATTATTTTAAAATAATCTGTTTTTAAAAGGAAACTGAAAACAGCTTTTACCTTAAAGGTGTAATTTTAACATGAAATCAGGGATCAGCTTGTTTGTTTTTGTTGTTTTCTTGGTTCCTGGTGATACATTTTTTTAAAGCACCAGAGAGCCACAGTTCCTGTTCCTACTAACTACTTGGACAGTTGAGACAGTTGAGAGATGATCCCTGTCAGCATCACTTCACTGAACCCACCTCATTGTGATGATTATCTGCTCCTTTAGCTGACTGCATCTGCTTTTAGAAAACAGGCTTTTTCTCTCTTATCACCTGCTTTAAATCAACCCGTTTCCAGTTTTAATGAAGCTCAGAGTTTAAGTTATAAATCAGCAGAAACTGAAAAGCTTCCCTCTCCCTCCACACAGAAACGCTCCCGGATTATGAGTGGGCACATGATGGAGCGTGGGGGTCCACAGTGGGCCGACTCTCTCTCTAACTTTTACGCACAGACAAACAAGTTAGTCCTGCGATAAAAGACTCACCGGCTGGTCCATCGGCTCCAGGTCCGAGGGCTCCTCATAGTAATCTGTGTGGCTGAAGTCGCTGGCCAGGTTAGAGTACAGCAGATACGCTAGAAACACGCAGATCCCCCAAAGGCGCATGGTTGTGTTTGCTCCTCAGCGCTGTATGATCCGCTGGAGAGGCGCTGCTTTATGCAGTTGGCCCCTGTCTTTCCTTCCTCTCTCACTGTCAGGGTCCGCGTCTGGCTCCTTGGAGGGACCGCAGCATGTGTATGCAGCCCGGTCATATGGAAACACATCAATCCGGAGGGTCAGCGGAGGCTGCCGCGTCAATTAATCCCAGGAAAACCCACCACAAGCGCTTTCAAAATAAGAGCCTCGAGGGGCCCCTCAGTGCAGCTGGATGGAGGAAAAGATAAACTGCCTGGAACATGATTGGTTTGGTTTCATTAACTTTATTATTATAACGCCAATTCAAAACTATTTCAGCTCTAAAACTATTTACACAAACATCAAGGCAAACAGATTCCCATATACAAACATTATCCAATTTATTTATCCAATTTATCCCAGCAGCATAAAAACACCACAACCAGAGTTAGTCCAAGACTTACCTCCACTGCCTTCTGCTCCCCTTCCACCTGTTAGGAGTTCCTTGGGTTTTATTAGTGCTGAAACTAACCCTTCTTTTGCAAATTGATTAATCTGCCCATTATTTGTTTGATTATTCATTAATAATCAGATAGCCAAAGGTTCCTTAAAGAAGACTTTCTATTAAATTAAACAGGCAGAAACTAACACTTTTTCACTTGAGGAGTTCTAGATCGAGCAGACTGACAGAAAAAAACTGGTTTAAATCTCACATATCTGGGACTTTCAATTTCTTATTTAATCAGATATTATTTCAGCTGTTATATACTGTTTATGACACACAGTCCTACTAACTGTGTGTTAGAACAATAGATGAAAGAGTGATTGGAGCACTAATCATGGTCAAACAGTTATTTCTGCACATACATGGAATAAATTCACCACAACTTCTGTTCAAAATATGAGTTTATTAACAAAAATCATTCAGCTCCAAGTCAAACGTATTTCAGTTTAACACTCAACTAAATCTAGTGAAACTAAACTAAACTAATATGTACAAAGAGGAAGGGAGACATGGTTGAAAAACATATTACTGTTTAAGATGGATTCTGTGTTTGAAACCAGTTTATCTGGAAGAATTTGGGATATGATCAAATTAGCTTTTCACTAATTTAGAGAAATTGGAATGTTTTCAGACCAATTCACAATGCAAATCCATGAGGTGAATAAAACATTATTTGGCCAAATAATGCTTTATTAAACGATTTGCTTAATCAAGAACCAATAACCTTTAGCTAAATGATTCTTTACCCTCTTTGAAATAGCTAGCAGCGAATGGACATCAGGATTCCACTAAATGACTCTTGGTCATACTTTGTAATGGAAATGTAATGAGCATCTGAGGAACACATGAACACTAATGTTACATCAGTGTTTAAATCCTTAGTGAATAAAGCTTGTCTAAGCTTTAGCAACAGCTCAACACATGTTTCCGTATAGCATATCGTAGCATGCATTCCATCCTGTTAGCTTTGTCTTTACTCATCAGTAAACAAAGGAAATGATCAACATCATCAAAAGACATATTGTTTGTTCTGTCCCTAATTATGCCAGACCTGCAAACCCTTTGTCCATGTCCATTTGGAAGGTTGAGTTCCATCCAGCAGATTAGCAGGCAGACTACCAGCAAAGCAGTCTCTCTCTGTCTCAGTGGCTCATAGTAGGGGTCCTCTTTGTCTCAGTGCAAATTCTCAGGCAGCCCTCATCGTCCAGTCTGGCTCTATACGTTCTGAAACTCAAGAAATGTGTTGCAAAAGGTCTTTTTTGCAGCAGTTTGGTTCTAAGATATTGATGAGATCTGGGTCTTTTTCTTGCTCCTTTCTTGCTGGAGATCCTGCCGAAGCAAGTTATCTGATTTCTCTGTGGTTTTGTTCTGTCCTCACACAGAGGGGGTTGGTTGGTCACACCTCTGTGACTTGCCTGTGACTGCTTTGGCTGAAAAGGGGGGGTCGCAGAGGTCCCCCAGCTGCTATTCACCAAAGCTGCGTCCTTTTCTCTGGTCATCATGTCAAGATGAAATATGGACACTGGTTCCCAATGTCCAAAAACCATGATCATGGCATATGGCCCAACATCAGCTATATCTGTATATCAGCTATATATAAATAAAATATTTTAAAGGATCTTGGTGTCATCTTTGATCAATATTTGTCATTTACATGAGTGGCTCAGGTTATCCTGAGCTGTCTCTATAGTTATGCTGCTATAGGCTTAGACTGCTGGAGAACCCAGCCGACTGCAGGAAACGCAGGTTCACGCTAAGATAGTTTAACATTAGCCTCTCTAACAGAGAAATTGCCTGTATGTTCCTTTTGTGTGTCTGCCTCTGTCCTCTCAAATCCCCAGCCAGTTGCAGTGGAAGGACGCTCTCCCAAGCCTGGTTCTGCTAATGGTTTTCTTCCTGTCCTTGAATGTTCCCTCTGTTTGTGACATTGCTGCGACGACACAATGCATATTGACGTGACTTGGTCGGGCTCTGGATGGGTTGTGTTGAGTTATGTGGTTTGGTGTTTCTCTATTACAAAGCTTTAGCTTTCCCTGAAAGATGGAGCTGAGCTTCTGGGACTGAAGTTAAATTGACTGCATGTCATTTGACAACTAAGTGCCAAATTTAACCCCACCTTTTCTAACATAGAAAGTATTTATGGACCAGGGCTTCTATGCTCCTCTTGTATGTCTGATCGGTCTCCTTGAATCCCCTGTTGGTCTTAGCAGAACCCTGCTCATACTGAGACTGCTCCTGCTTGATGCATCTTCCTCTGAAAGGGAGCATTTTCTCTTCACTTATTGCTGCATGCATGCAAATATCTGCTCTCGCCAAATGCTCATCCATGTGGATGAACACCTCCTAGAGTGGTTACCAATAGATTTTAAAATTTGGTTTAAAGCTCTGGTCCTTACATATAGGGCTCTTAATGACAAGTATTTTTGAAAGCATTTGATGAAACAAGTTGCTCTTTTATTCTAAGCTTAGATCTCCTGGCCCTTTCAAGACTAAAACCAAATAGGACTTGGCTTTTCATTTCTAAATTGTGGAGCAGTTGACTCCTGCAACTTTGCTTTGCTGGCTCAGTTAACAGTTTTACACAATAAATGAAAACAGATTTATTTTTTATTTTTTTTGGGCGGGGGGATTACTTTATATTTTTATTTACCGTATTTTCACGACTATAAGGCGCACTTAAACGTCTTTTTTTTCCCTCAAAATGTGCGGTGCGCCCTATGGTGCGGTGCGCCCTATGTGTGTGGTAACTGCGACTTTTGAGACCACCTCATTGAGGAGATGATGAAAGAGTGGCTGAATGTAAGGAGACCAGGTGTTTTTTTTCCACCCCTCACCATTGCTGTTAATATGTAACTCCATGCGTGCCCATCTCACAGCTGATGTGAAAAACATGGGGAAACAAATTAACGCTGTGCTCGCTGTTCAACCGCTCGACATCGGTGTGAACCGGACCCAGCAGGTGCAGCAGAAGCAGCGAGTTTACATGCAAAGTCAATGGTTGACGCGCGTATAGGTGCAGCAAAAGGTCCCGCAGCGCGTTTTGGTGCAGCACGTCGGGAGCGTTTAAGCATCTGACGCACCGCCAACGCGCTGCTGCTCAGATGGAAAAATTGAAGTTTTGCTGCTGGACGCGCCGCATCAACCAATCAGAGAAGCTGATCTGGGAGCTGACAGCGAGACAGACACAGCGCTCTGATGACATATGATATTAACGCAAATGAAAAGGCTGGGTGGATGCGTGGCTGAGACAGGTGTATGTGAGAAGACTAGGGGGGTTTTTTCCACGCATCACCATCGCTGCATGCCCATCTCACAGCTGATGTGAAAAAAAGATGATTCAAATGAACGCTGTGCTCGCCGTTATTCCGGGGGGTCTGACAAAGGAACTTCCACCGCTCGACATCGGTGTGGAGCGGCCGTTCACAGTAAGGCTGCGAGCGGCGTGGGAGCGATGGATGACAGACAGAGACCACAGTTTCAGGATAAGTGGAAGGCAGCGCCGTGCAAGTTACGCCACCGTTTGCGGATGGATTGTAGATGGACTGTGTCTGCTGGCTCTGTTGTTCAAGCTTTCGCAAAAGCCAGCATTATTTCTGAGGAGCTGCGCTGCACGGAAAGTGACTCTGACAGCGAAGAAGGGGAAATTGGCATGTCTGATTTAGCGCAGCTGTTTTATTCAGAGGAATGCTGAGGATAACAGAGGATGATGACTTTGATGGGTTTGATTAATACTTTGTAATAAATACATGAATAAAGCACAATCATACTCAGTTTTGCTCCCGCTGTATTTTTCTCCCTGAAAACTTAATTCAACAGCAGCCTCTGGGCCGGGTCTCCTCCTCTTCAGCGCGGTGGCTGGCAGGTGTTTTTTCATCTAAATAATCTAAATCTTGCAGCTATATTTGTTGTGATCAGTTGGAATAAAGTAGTTTTAATATGTTTTTAAGTGAGAAAGGCCACCTGAAAACTTAATAATTGCAGTCAGTTCATCCAGATTATCTATTTCTGTCGGAGGCGCTCAGACCCCCACATACCAGCGGTGCGCCGACAGGAGAAATCCTTTCGTTCACCGCGGCGGCTGGCAGGTGTTTTTCATCTAAATAATTTTAGCTGCAGGCACCAGGATACCGGTAATAAAAGCGAACATATTCCGTCGGCAGGTTTCAGGATTTTAAGTTAATTTAGGAGTGATCACAGCGCTGTGTCATCTGTGATGTGTCTGTCTCACGGCCAGCTGCCAGGTTTGATTAATACTTTGTAATAAATACATGAATAAAGCACAGTCATACTCAGTTTTGCCCCCGCTGTATTTTTAAATACGCAGTAGAGGTATTTAAAGGTAGTAGAGGACATGTACCTGTATATAAAAAACGCGCCCTCTAGTCCGGTGCGCCTTATGTGTGTGTTAAATACAGAAATGGGACACATAACTGAGAGTGCGCCTTTTAGTCCGGTGCGCCTTATGGTCGTGAAAATACGGTAGTTTTTACTCATGTTTTCATACAGTGTCTAACTCAAATAGCACAAATATTTCACTGTATCTTTGACAGACACTTTTCTGAGAGCAGTTCAAAGGGTAACAGTTCAAGGATTAAAAATTTGATACACCTTTCTTAGTGGCACTCTCTAGTTCACTGTGGATGTGGATCGAGAATGTTCTATCTTATGGTGTCTTGAGAGTCCCA